GAGAGGCCGGGGGGTGTTGGAGGCGCGTGCTTCTATTCCTCCGGCGTGCGTGCATTGGCTGGATGGCTGTGTTGGGGGGGGGGGGACACGGGCTGGGGGGAAGAGGTCGTCGCACGCTCGCGAGCACTGGTGGTGGCCGTCGACTGGATCGCAGATGGCTCCACCCGTTCAGGGTTTCTGACCAGCTGGACTGGTAGCACTGGCACTTACTCAATTGTGGCGGTTGATTGTTTGTGCCCTGTATAGCTGGCTAGCTGTACGCGCAGCCCTTGATATCCAGTACCGCGAGCATGGCAAAGCGCGAGGGCCGCCGGCTCCAGCTCAAGGAGTTTCTGATTTACAATACGACTTTCGGACGCAAGGAGGACAACGTCCGTACACCTGCTTCTTCTTGGGGATTTTTTTTTTTCAAACCCTTTTGACAGCCATCTCTTGTCCCGGGTCATGACCGACTCTGTTCCACTGGCCTGGCTTCATGGCGCAACGATATTGTCTGCCCGTCTCGTGATCCTTTAGGAACATGAAAAGCTACTGTACTTTTATCCCAGCTCCGTGCCCTTTGGCAAGCAGATGAACTACGTCGGCATGAGCGAAGCCCTTTTCAACTTTACTTCGTACGTGCATCTCCTCTGGCAGCCTTACTCCCTTCTCTCGCTCCCAACCGGTGCTCGTTCATCGACCACCGCCATGGTAGCTCGTCGTATCTCCTTTTGCTCACCCACTTTCCGCCCCTTACCCATCTGTTCAATTCTTCAAACAACAGCACCTTTTCAAGCAAACCCATTGAAGTTTTGCACACGCAAATGGCGCGCCGTGTCTTTCTCAACCCCGAGCCCAACTTTTTCATGTCCATGGTATGCTCGGCTTCTTCCATGTCCCCCCTCCCCGCCTACTCTGGCTTTTTTCCTCGCTTTCCCGCTATTACTCAGCTCCCGTGTCTTGCACCTGTTCTTGTGTTTCAAACCCTCGACCAAATCGGCGCGCAGTCTCTCTACCTGAGCTTTACCAGCGGCAAAAAGGAGGGCGAGGAGGTCAACATGTATGATGACCACAGCGTCATGGATGCCGCCCTCACCCAACTGTTGCAGAATGCCTACGAACGCTACCGCGTACGCCCTTGACCTCTGCCTTTCTCCATCCCCCAAGCTTGCCTCAACCTTTTTGTCTTACACCCCCTTGTCTCATCCCCTTTCCTCTTCTTTTGCCGATAGCTCCTCCAAGGTACCCTCCAGACGTCGTTGGACCGTCTTGGCCGTGAGCCGCTCATGGAGCACTTTCGAGAGTTTTTCGATGACGTACGCGTCTTTCATGCCCTGCGTTCCCAATGAAGACGTCCATCACGTCATTGGTGGCACCATTCTCATCTCACAGTCGCACCTACCATCACTTAGTACCTCCCTCAGCTCGATATTCCAAACCTGAACATTGTCGATGCACTCAATGGTTTGTGACGTAGCGCATCCATCTCCTCAGATCGAGGCACAGCAACCCACCGTGTTTTGGTTTGCTCTCGCCTTAGGCATTCAGTTCCTCCCTTTGGAAAAGAACAGCTACTTGCGGATACAATCGTTCATCTCACACACCGAAACACAGTTCAGGTTGGCATCTTTTCCCCCCGGGAGCCGCCGTGTCGCTCGGCTTTGCAAATCTTCACCTGCCTCAACTCTGTGCGGGTGCAGCGATATCGTGGCGACAGTCGTTCTCTACAAACAAAATGTCATTTGGAGTGGTATCGAGCAAAGCGACCTGGAGCACCTCTACGGCTTTCTCATGGGTGAGCTTGTTTTGACAACTGCCTCCCTCTTTCTTGGCTCCATGCATCAATTCAAAACGCGCACATTCATCAATTTGATGTTTTGCATGCTCTGCTTTGTCAGGCAAGCTGCCCTTGAATGCACCGGCTCAGGATACACCTCAATTCGTATTCGGCCCTGACAGCGTGAGCGATGATGCCAGCCCCATCACGACGCCGCGTCTCCACGTTGACCTACCAGGCGTGGCATTGCCCGTGCCGTTGGTGGCCTACTACTCGGCTGGAACCACGTGCTGCTTTCTCGTCAATGCCAAGAGTGCAATGGACATTGGGTTCTATCGCCGCCTGCAAGCACAGATTGAGCCACGCCTGCAGGATCTTAATGTCAAATTCGCAGAGAAGCAAGCTCTGCGCCTCAGCTTCGCAAACCAGATGGCGCAAGAGTACCCATATAAGTACATCTACTATAACGATGTCAACAAGGCCATCAAGTCCACCTTTCTGCCTCTGCTCAAGGGCGAAGGCCAAGCGTCGGCGAGTGCCACTGGCAGCACCGATGCTGTCAGTTCAACCGCCCACGTTCAGTTGATGGGGGAGATCCACCAACACTTTCGTGACACAGTGGGTCCACTATCCGACAGCGAAATTTCTGCCAAAGCTCGTTCCGATCAGTGGGTTGTTGGCCGACGCTCCGAGGATCGTGAAGTCTTTGTGCACCTTACTGGTCGTGGATCGGCCAATCTCATTGAAATCAACGGTTCGTCTCCTCTAACAGCCCTGTTGATGGCTTCCAAGGCCGGTGTCTTTCTGCCGCCCCCCCCCCCCCCTTTTTTTTTTTTTTTTTTGTACGCATGCTGTGGTCTGTGCTCACTCTTCTGCCGTGCGCCCCATCGTTCCTGATAGATGAGCTCCGCAAGCTCTCAGCTACCCACTTTGGCAGCATTTTTCTGTCCGACTAATGCCAGCACAAGTGTGGAATTTGGGGTGCCTATCCAGGTCAAATCCGCTGCCTACCGGGCAGTCTTTGAATCGACCTGGATGGGCATGGATAGGCAGGGAGACACCAACAAAGTGTCCATGGTAGACTTGTTTTCTTGCTTGCGCACATCTTGTAGAAACAACAATCAAATAATTGACCACGCAAAGAGCAATCAAGATTCAAGGAAAATCCAAAGAGAAATCATGAAAGCGAGAGGAGGGGAAGAAGCAAGAGCTCAGCATCTCATCTGGACTAGTCTACCTCCCATTGCGCGTCCGTGGCAGGCCAGAAAGTAAATGGACGGTGGTCCGATTTAAAGCTCATCCACCCCGTAGCTGCGATGCGCGGTGTAGCAATATCTGCAGCCGCAAAGGATCAGGCGCACACCAGCTCAGCGTCATGAATCCGGACGATAGAATTGCGGTGGCCACCCGGAAGGCGACAGCAACAAGGCTTACCGGCAGCAATTTCCGAGACAAAGTGGGGCAAGACACGCCACTCTTCACTGACATCAAAAAAGGTAAAGGTGTTGGAGGCTGGGACAAGAGTGCGAATGACCTGACAGGGCAAGGCGACAAAAGGTCAGAATCACGACACTTTGACATGGATCTCCGGACGTAGTCACTCTTGTCAACGCTGATATATATGTTGGCCGCACCTCATCCCAATCGTTCTCATTCATCATGTGAAGCAAGCCGCCATACCTAAAGCCACAAGCACAAAAGGTGAGTGAAGGGGGAAGAATCAGTTGTTGCAAGAGATCGCAGCAGCCGAGTCAGGTGTCTGGCTCTGCTCAAAAGGCTAGCAGGTCAGGACACGCACTCGGCCTTCCATTCCTGGGAGTTTTTGTCAACAAAAGACAAGTAAGCACAGAAACGTCACGAGCCAAAAAACGGGAGTCAAAGCAAATGGAGGAGTTCGGGCCGACTGCTGCGGGGGCCGGCGCACCTTGGTCAAGTGGTAGGTAAAGGCGATGCGGCGGGTTTCGACAGAGTCGGAGTGGCGGTTGAGAAAGTCACCCGACGTGTAGCGGGAAATGAAGAGGGTGGAAAGCTCGTAGTCGTGATGGGCGATCTGGGAGAGAATGTTGTGGAGGTACTGGGAGCTAACAAGGTCTCGCATTTGACCAAAGAGCTCGGGATAAAAGAAGCGAAGGCGGCCATCAATGGTGTCCACAGTGCGGGTGAAACTGTAGGCGTAGATGCTCTGTTGCCGATGGCGGTGTTGGCGAGTCAGCCACTCAGCGATCAATTCAAGGTTGTCGACATGCCAGGGGATGGTGTGAGCCATGCCATCGTCACGGGGGAAAGAAGCTTGCCAGACGTCGGAGAGCACCGGTTGATGAACAGCATCTTGCAGCCGAGCAAAGATTTCGGGTCGCAAAAAGTTTGGGATGGAGACGATGCCTGTGGTGATAAACTGGGTCCGGAGCTTGCGCACTTCTTTGCTGTCGATGGTGCGAATCCAGTGGGAGAGGTCCGGGCATTGCAGGATGCGGCGTGGCGAGGGAAGGGCAGTAAAGTAGGCTTCTTCTTCAAGTGGGCGCAAAAAATAATTGAGGCAGTCGTCATCGCCACTCTGGCACTCGGACTTGTCGCTGCACACGGGAAGATGGAATACCTGTCGCAAACGTGAGGGAACACAACACAACGGGCTTTACCAAAACGGGAAGGGCCTTGAACACGTGCGCGCGTACGCGTGTGTTTGAGGAGGAGACGTCTACCTGGAGGTCATCATCGAATTCAAAGTCGCCAAGGCCAAAAAGCTGTTGCCAGTCGTTGCGGGGAAGTTGCGGTTGAGGCTCGTTGCGGGTTGGGACCTTGTTGACGTAGACGACGGGGCCGTAGTCATCGATTTTGCCATGCTTGAGGAGTACTTTTTGAATATTCCACCTTGCTCGCGATGATTGTGGGAAAGAAACGTGAACAGTGGCCTGAGAACTTGTTCAATCAAGGGGGCAACGAAACTGGTGCTTTGCATGCGTGGCACGACTTACCACCTGTCGTGCTCTGAGTCCCCCTTGTGCACGAAGAGCTCATAGCGCGAGCTGTTGTTCAATGTCTTGATAAAGGAAGGATGGCCTAGAGGGGCGGAGAAACAAGAAACAGAGCACACATGAGACCGGCATTCACTTGGGTGATGGTCGGTGCAGCGCTGGCGGTCGGACCATTGACGAGGGGGCCAGCTTGATAGAGACCGTTGACGTCCTCGATGTTGGCACCTGGCAGCTCATGAGACAGCATCGGGCTCTGGGTGAGAATTGGCCAGCTAGGCGTCGATGGTCAAAGTTCAACAGACCTTGGATGCGGAGATTGGAGACGGGTTGACTGTTCCACATGGCTCCACCTGCGCCTGCACCCACGAGGCGTGCCGAAGCCAAAAGAGTGATGGCAAGGGCCAGGCAAAGGCTCAAGAACGGCGTTTGCTGGGCCATGATGATCAGAGCAAACGAAAAGCCTTTTGATGGTGTCGTGGCGACCCTTTGTTCGCATGCAGACTAAGATGAATACCAATCAGAAACGCGCTGCGGCAGATAAGCAAAAGGCGCGGCGCAGCCGTGATCAAGGGACGTGCTTTTGATCCCAACAGGAGCTTGGGCAGTGCCAACTGGCCAGAAGACAAGGTTACGCTTGTCACTTTAAGAAAAAGCCAGCTCGGACTTTGCACTGCCAGTGATGCTGGTAGCCATGTGCCACAAGGGAAAAAAAAAAAGAAAGCAAAGCCTCATCCCCCTGAAGAACGGCGATTAGAGCAGGATGCGCCTAGGGCTGACGTACCGTACGCACGTAACCGCCCTGCTTCGCTGACTTGCTCGGAACGGTATTTCCAGCAGCGCGGACACCAGCATGCAGGCAAGCAAGCTCACACTTCAAAAAATTTACTTGAACACTTTATATATAAAACTAGGATTGACGGAGGTGATGCTACCACATATAATTGGGGTTGTAGCTCAATTGGTTAGAGCGCGGTACTTATAAGCAGTACGGCTGCCCTTTCGTTTGTTTGTTTTATCAAGCGACTGACGGAGGGTGTGCGCAATGCCGAGGTCGTGGGTTCGAGCCCCACCTTCCCTGCTTCTTTCGTTAAGCGGGCCAGGCGCATGCTGTGACGGTGTGTGTCCGGAGGCCATGGATGTATATGTGGTACGCCCATTTTTTTTTTTTTTTTTTTTTTTTTTTTTTTTTTTTTTTTTTTGTTTTGGCTATTCCTTGTTGTTGGCATCTGGCGCGTGTGCAGTGTGTGCAAGACAGCAGAATGGCTTTCACACATGCCAGCTGTGAACGTGACTGCCGGCTTGCCATCGCATCGGAACATTAATGCACTTTATCAAATTCTGCGAAGACAGTGAGCATGTTGTCATCCAAACGACGTTGGGGGGTCAACGTATAGCTTGGATCATGTCGATGACCCCCTTAGCGACCACCCCTCCGCATTTCACCAGATCAGCGACGCAGCGACGAGACGCGACCCCATCAGTCACCCGCCTGCGTGCGCTCTCCTGCTTCCGGCTGCGCTTCTGTCCCTTGGTCCCTTGGTGCCTTGGTCCCTTGGTGCCTTAGTCCTTTGGTCCTTTGGTCCCTTGCTCCCTTGCTCCCTTGGTTCCTTGGTCCCTTGGTCCCTTGTTCCTTGGTACCTTGGCCCCCTGGTTCGTGGTGGTCCTGAGCTACCTGGCCTCGCCGACGCCGACACAGGTGTTCTTTGCAGCCTTTGAAACGCAGCCTTCCAGCCGCAGCATAGTCGTGTCGGCTGGCTGGGCGTGTTGTCCCGTTGGCCGTTGATTTTCCGTTTTCTATCACACGAGCACAATGGCAACACAGCTCCCGCCGTTGCCGCAGGCATCACGGTCCGGGCCCGCGGGCGGCCTGGGCGGTGCTGCGTTTGCCGGAGCCGGCGCCACCGGTCGATCTGTGACCGGATCACGCCTTCTCAATCGACGTCGCATCTCTGCCGCCACCTCTCTCAACCCCAAGCGCCACACCCTGCGTACCGTCGCCGTTGATAATGACTTTGCCACCGCAACTATCGCGCCCATGTACGTCCTCTCATGGTTCTCCTCTCCGACTCTTGCTCGCCAGTTTTGGCTATCGCCACGTCCGCTCTCCTCGCCCCGGGTCTTCCTTCTGTCGCTGACTCATTTCTCACCTTGAATTGGGGGCGTGCGTCGAGCGTAGCACAAGCGATCGCGTTGATGAACGGGAGACGGCCTGCATTCGCATGCTCGTCACCTGCAGCCCCGTGGCCTATGCCGAGTTTTTTCGCCTCAGTAGCTCCCAGAACAGCCTGGGGCTTGACTTTAGCGGCGACGAGCAGCTCCTGCACCTGACCACCCACGCTCTAGTCAAGAGCGAAGCAGCCCTTCGTCAACGCAAATTCGACTCGGCTGTCGCCGCTCGCCATCAGCTCGCACAAGCCTTTGCCATGCGCGGCGCCTGGCAAGCTGCCCTGGAGCAGCACGAGCATGCCGTCGCCGCAGCTCGCTTTGGCGACAGTCGTGCTGTGCTTGCTGAATGCCTTCTTGAACTCGGCCATTGTCAAGAAAAAATTGGTAGGCCCTGGCCACCCCATAACAGATTGTCGTGCCTGTCGCCCCCCCCCCCCCCCCCCCAAAAAAAAAAAAAAAAACCAAAACCAAAAAAAAAAAAACCAAAAAAAAACAAAAAACAAAACCCCACAACCACAACCACC